TAATCAAGAAAATCTTGATGAGAGTTGGTGAAAACTTAAGAATAAAGAGAATTGATGAATTAATGATAGATGTAGATGATGAATCAAAACGGAGTTTTAAATACGATATTTATAGAGAAAATCATCCAAAAAAGATAATTTATCAAAACAGAGTCTGAAGATCGAAAAACTCACTTGGCGCCAGCCCTGGCTCATTGGCGCCAGGACTAGTGGCTAGCGCCAGGCGCCAATGCTGGCGTCTGGCACCAATCTTGATTCCAGGCGCCAAGGCCTGGGGTTGGACGCCAATTCGGAATTCAACGCGTTTTCGAAAATCTGATAAATTTCCCGTACTGGAAGATAAAATAATATAATTTCAATCGAAAATGCTATTTGATCTAATTAAAACTCTGAAGAATCCTAACTGAATTAAGAATGATAAAACCTTCTAGAATGTTCTAGAAGACCAAAACCATTCCTAATTACATTAGGAATGATAAATCATATTAGGCCCTCCCCTAGATCATTGGGTCGTACTTAAATCTCAAACCGGGCCCAGTTTAGTAAATTGGTCATAACTTCCTCAATATTCATCGGAATTGGGCTTATAATATATCGCTGGAAAGGTCTTTTCAAGCCCCATCCAACTACACGACTATTGGACCCATATCATGGACCAACAAAACTGGATTGGCTGTTTTCTCAAAATAAAGTTTTCAAAAACAGAGAGAAAAGAAAAGAATTAAAACTTTCCGCAACACTAGACCTTTCCACACTTTCGTTTCATTCGATTATGATTCGACGTGAAAGGTACTCATAACTGCGTTTGGTTTTGGGGAGACACAAATGGGTGTCTACAGAAGCCCCCACTTTGACTGAGTTTGGAGAAACGCAAGTTTCGAAAACGAAAGTCAAAGTATCGATAGGGACGGAGAATGATTCAGAACGTTCTGCGATCCTAAATCAATCTTGTAACGTCGATACCCGCAAAACAATGTTAGTTAAACAGATAAAAGAGTTAAGAAACGCGTATCTTGCACCGTCGAGCACACGTCTCTGAAAGTAACCGATTTGCTGCTGCTGTTTTGTTTTGATGACCTTCTACAAGCTAGAGAATGCCATCCCGCCTTAAAACCGCTACGCCTTGTAACTGTTTCCAATTAGAAGATTGCTTCGCCTGAAACTACCTTCTCCGCTGTGATAATATTCCACGTCCAAGGGAATACTATCGAAGATTGCTTCTCTTGAAACAATCCTCAGTTGTTTGTGACAACCCTCCACAATCTAGGGAACGCCATCTTGCTGTTTGTTTTGACGATCTTCCACAATCTAGGGAACGCCGTTGATCAATGTTGCTACATCTTGAGCCTTTTCTTGAATCATAGTGACAACCTTTCCAATCATAGCAAAAGTCGTCGAAGACTTCCCATCTCGTGCTATCTTCTCAAATCTTGGGTGACAACCTCCACAATCTTAGCGAATGCCGTCGAAGACCGCCCATCTCGTGCTATATTCTCAAATCTTTGGTGACAACCTCCACAATCTTAGCGAATGGCGTCGAAGACCGCCCATCTCGTGCTATCTTCTCAAATCTTTGGTGACAACCTCCACAATCTTTAGCGAATGCCGTCGAAGACCGCCTATCTCGTGCTATCTTCTCAAATCTTTGGTGACAACTTCCACAATCTTAGCGAACGCTGTCGAAAATAACTTTTCTTGAAGTCATCCTCAGTTGTTGCGATAATATTCCAAAGAAAATTACCGAAGACAAACACTTGTCGATCTTTAAAGCTCGCTTGAACTTTGCTTTTGCTATGCCTGTACGTCGGCGCTTTCGTTGCTTTGAACCTATACGTCGGTGTCTTTTCTACTTTTGAGCCAATGCCTAGGCGCTTTAAGCTAAGTGAGACGATCTTTCATCAGGTCGATCACTTATTGCAATTGTAATCAAACTGACTACTTAATCATGTCAAATTTCTTATAGGGGCTAACTGGCGTACCAAGGAACCCAAAATTATATTGCAGAAGGCTAGCACAACCCCAACAGGTGGCTGGCTGCTTTGGCGTCGCTGAAAATCAATCAGCGCCAAACATATGGCATTAGCGCCATGCGCTGAAATTGGCGTCCGACGCTTAGCACAGAATGTGACGCCAATGCCTAGGGACTGGCGCCAGCACGGATTCTCCTTCAAATTCAATTTTCCGTTTTATTTCTTGCTCTGTTCGTCGCGAACGCTGCGATAGGGTCTTCCCTGTTCTGCTGCACCTGTATTTATTTTGACTATAGAACTTTGCCAATCTTTTTAATTATCTTAGGGTTGACCTAAAGTTTAGCATTGCTTGACTCATTGACTTAACACGACTCAAGGCATAAACTTGATTCATGTGATTGACTGACTCGAGGTTGACTCGACTCAAAGTGTAATGACACATGTGTTAGACTCAAATCAAAGTGATATGACATGACTCAATGTGTACACGACTCGTGTGTGCATTGTAATGTGATCGTGCGACTCGAAAATGCAAAAAAGCAAAAAAATTTCCGTCATTTTTGTGGAGGGTACCGACTTTCTCCCAAAAAGGAAAGACGCGAAAAAGAATCGAAAGTTTGAAGATGCATGTTGAATGAGCTTAGTCAAATGTCATTCGATACTATCTCTCAAGATGCAAGGATTAATCCATCCTAGGCTATCTCAATGGTTGACTCCATGATGAAAGTATTTGGGTAACTTAGGCACGGAGGCTAAGTACTTCATGCTTCGTGATGCAATGACAATTATGAGTGATGAGTGATGCGACAAGGCATGCTTCAACGTTAAGATTTCATGACAAAGGGTTCCTAAGGGAAATATATTTGGTCATGTATGTGTGATGTGTGTGATAGTGACATTAAAGTTAGGCCGCAAGAGCTAAGTGTGTGGAAAAATATATTATTGAAAAGAGTCAAATGGTGGTGACACTTAGGCTAGGTAAGCTAATGATGTAGGGATCAAGCCCCCAAGTCTAGCTCTAAATGAATAGGGATGAGCATTGGAGATCCCTTGATATGATCATGGTGAAAGTGTGTGAATGTGAATATGAATGCATATTTATTACGGCCGCACCTCGATGTGAGGTTGCCTACGTATCCGTTAGAAATCAGGCCGAACGTAGCTCTAGTCAAACCACGCACAAGTGTGTATACCTCAAAAAGGTCTTTTTAAGGGTTGTAACGTGGTTAGGCTAAAGGATTGAAGAAGAAGGGGATAAAGGCTCAAGACCCTAGATAAGCCCCCAAGGTGTGCATCCTTGCTTTTGAATATTTGTATTTTATGCTTGAGTTTCTACTCTCTTTTTTTAGCTCTTTTTGCTTTAGCATTTATTTTACTTTTGCAAGTGCGGGCAATCCCGATCATGCGGTCTATCACTCACTTGGCATTTATGTTTCTCAGGCACGGTACCGAGCACTCAATAAGAGACGCAATCTGAGACATGTTCTTATCGAAGATATTTTCATATCAAAGACATTGGAACACTTACCCTTTTGTACACTTATTTTTATTTTTTTGCTTTTGCTTATTTTTGTTATTTTGATTTTCTGAAATCACTCAAGCTTTGTTCTTTGAAAATTGTATAAGTTTCACACCATCCCATCCCAAGGTTAGATAGATGTAGGTTGAAAAAAGAAAGGTCCATCATTAGACGAGGCTCAAATTGGTTTATGAAGAAAGGATTACATATTTGAAAAGTGAAAGGACATATGATGTGGCTACAAGGGGTGCCTCAAATCATTGGTATACCTTGTGCTTAATTTGACATGTTTTTTTTTTTTTTTTTTGATGCAATGCAATGAAATGATCATTTGCAAGGAATTAAATGCTCATTTTATTAAGGGAAAAAGGAAAAATCTACAAAATTCAGTTAAAGGAAAAGAAAAGGTGCCTATGCTTGACTTATTGGGGAAAGAAAAGATGAAAAAAGAAATAGAAAAAAGAGGCCATGAAATTTTGTCGTTGAAGCTCGCTTTTTGTCTTGTGTTGTTTGCTTTATCATCACTCGCTCTTCTTGTTAACTGGAGGCATGGGAAGCTTGTTATTATCAATCAAATGTTGGATAGCCTCCTTTAGCTTCCAACAGCTCTCAGTAGTATGACCCCTACCTTGATGGTACTTGCAGTGTTCGTCTGGATTCCAACTAGGCAATCTCTTTTCAGGTGCGGGATCTTGAATAGGTCCAATGGGAGTAATGAGTCCTTTGGCATGGAGTCGATCGAAGGCAGTATCGTAGCTCATCCCAATGGGGGTGAAGTCTTTCCTTAGTTGCTTCTTAGATCCTTGGTTATCTATGGCTAAAACTTCACTGAGATCAAAGGTACTAACATTGTTACTAGAGTGGGCGTTTTCGGAAGAAGAAGGATTGTCGTTCTTCTTTCCTTTCCAACCACCATGGTTACTATTGTTAGTAGCTTTTTGCTTTGCAAGGTCATCTTCTATTTCAATTCCGATGTCATAAACGGCCTTGAAACTGTTTGAACCGGTATAAAAACCGCTAACAACGAACCGTTAACAAACTGCAACCCGGCTGCACCGAACCGTTTACTTTCCGAACCATTTACAACCCGAACCGAATTAAAACCGCTCAAGAATAAACCGAAACCGAATCGAACCGATAACTATTTAAACCGAACCGAAACCGACCCGCGAGACACCTAAACCGATTTCAAACCGACCCGATTTAATAACGAACCGATTTCAAACCGAACCGAACCCGAACTGTCAAACCGTTTTGACAGTGCTAGTTAGGACTATATCTCTATAACCAGGCCATAAATTTTTTTTATTAGGGGGCCAAACTAATACTTGAGCACAAAATAATATGGAGATGTCCAAAAAAAAAAAAACTGGGACCAAGTATTATATTTACTAATTCGTATAGCTATTTTTGCTCAACCGAACTCGTCATTCCGTGCGTCACATTCCTTTCAAATCAAAACAGATATTTCCTAAACAAAGGCAATACATTATTGCTTCAAATGATTCACAATGGAGAAAAAGAGCTCAAACACCAATGACAACATTATTGTTTTACTGAAACAAACAAAGTACATGCATCACCAAGTTTAAAGATGTTATCTTCAGAAATTAAATATTACTGTATTGTTTGATATAGGTTATTAATCACTTCATATAAAGAACAATATTGTTGATAGGTTTTCAGGGGAAAAAAAAAAAATCTTGAGGTACAAACTCTCAGTTTACCACCACTAAAGCTCTAAAACCAAATGAAGTTTAAGTTTAGACTACCCTTTCAGATTTCAGCTGAAGCTACAAGCTTGCTTGCCTTTTTACTATTTTTCTACTGCCTAATTCGACGAATAAAGAAGACAAATACTAGTAGAAAACCCCCCCAACCATCTAATTCATGGCCTTTAATTGGTCATCTTCATCTTCTGAGAGGACTTCCTCACATAGCCTTGGGAAATTTAGCAGATAAATACGGTCCACTCTTTATGATTAAGCTTGGTACCCGCCAAGCTTTGGTTGTAAGCACAGCAGAGATGGCGAAAAAGTTCTTAGGTGGCAACAATGACAAAGTATTCTTAAACCGTCCCCAAAAAATCTTTGTAGAGCATTTGGCTTACAAAGGTGCTATGTTGGGATTCAGTCAATATGGCCAATACTGGCGTGAGATTCGTAAGATTACTACTGCCGAGCTACTGTCCAACAGCCGGGTAGAGATGTTTAAAAATGTCAGGATATCTGAGGTAAGATCAGCAATGAAGAGTATATCAGTTGCTATGTCTGAATTAACGGATATGAAACAATTGTTTACTGACATAAGTATGAAAACTATAGTAAGACTAATTTCGGGCAAGTCATTGAAGGAATGTTACCAAGGGGAAGAGTATAATACGATTGTAAAAGCATTCAGGGATTTCTTTGAATTAGCAGCTGCATTCGTCCCTGCTGATGTACTCCCCTTCCTGAAGTGGTTTGATATTGGAGGGTACGAGAAAAAAATGAAGAAAGTTGCAAAAGAGATCGATAATATAGTTGGAAGGTGGTTGGATGAACATAAAAACCAAAGAAGCTCCGAAGAAGTACAAAGAAAGTTAGATTTCATGGATGTGATGCTTGGTGTTTTTGAGTCTGGACAGGAAAAGCCTTCCAAATATGAAATAGATACCATCATCAAAGCAACGTGCACGGTAAGAACATTTACTTATGCTCTATATGCATTAAATTTGATTTCATTCTATACTATAAATTATCAGAGTTTGATTCTAGAATTTTCTAATTTGTTGACAAGAGCATTACACTGCATACATGTTTTCATTCCAATCTGAATTAGTTTTTGTTGTGAATTAAGCTTGGGCAGCCCTTAATCTGAACTTATTTTAAGAATTTAAAGGGCAAAAGATGAAGTAAGGCACTTCAAAATGAACGAACTAAGCTCATCAAATCTATGATTTACCATTGTATTACTCATTCCAATCTTAGAAGAGTCAAAACAGAGTAAAATTGGAGCTAGTCCATAAGATACTTATTGAAAAAGGATATAATATTGCTTATTATTAAGCACATTAATCAATAATCATATAATAATGGGCTAATCCCAACATTACTGGCTAGCCCTCTCTAATGAGTTTCATTGAATTTTATAGCTCTCAAATCATTGCTGAAATCATTTCAAACATTAATAATTTCTTCTGCTTGGAAGTCTATGATTTTAGCTGCAGCAGACACCACAACAATAACCTTAACATGGGCACTATCGTTGCTACTCAATAATAAAGAGGCCTTGAAGAAGACTCGAGATGAACTAGAGACGGTAGTGGGCAAAGAAAGGCAAGTAGAAGAATCAGACCTCAAGGATTTAGTCTACTTGCAAGCAGTTCTCAAAGAGACTATGAGACTATACCCTGTTGCTGTAGTCCCTCGAGAAGCTATTTCAGATTGCACTGTGAGTGGTTACGACATTAAAGCTGGGACACAACTCTTGATCAACCTTTACAAGATACACAGAGATCCTCAAGTGTGGGCAAACCCAATGGATTTTCGTCCTGAAAGGTTTCTCATAACTAATGACGACTATGATGTTAGAGGCCAAAGTTATAAATTTATGCCTTTTGGAAGTGGAAGGAGGATATGTCCTGGTATATCGTTTGCCCTTCCGGTCATGGAGTTTACACTAGCTAATTTACTCCATGGATTTGACATCTCAATTCCTTCGGAAGAGACCGTCGACATGACTGAGGGTTTTGGACTAACCAACCATAAAGCTACACCACTTGAGGTTATCCTCACCCAACGCTTTCCTTCCAACCTTTACTAAGGTTGTTGATTAATTTTCATTTGCATACCACTTTGTCTGTCCTGCACTAATATGTTATGCTACCAGTAATAAAATGGACAGGATTTTACTACAATTTTATGTTTTACATGAAAACCTTTTACATCAAACCAAACAGGGCCTAAGCTACATAATTTGTTCTTTCGAAGATGGCCTCCCTTGTTATAAATCTTTTTTTAGGTTCCCTTAACGAATCAACCAACATCCCTAACAGTAAATTAAGGATATGATGAACCTGATCTATTACTGACATACTTCAGTGAATTACCATATGAATAACACATGAATTCTGTCTACAAAATTATTTCTGTAACAAAAAATAATCTACTATACAGTAATAAATAACAACAGATAGCATCCAAATCATAAATGAATAATAACAGTCTACTTGCAATATTGTAGTCACTTTGAGTCCAGATTTTTCCCATAACTCGGGAAGTTGCATTCCCCATCTAGCTAATTTGTTGAAAGCAAGTAGCTTCTAATGAAAGCCATTCACAACATAACCCTGTGCATTGTAACAAATTTAATTAAATGCTTGCCATATGACATGTAACACATATTATTAAGAAACAATATGGAAAGAAAACAAACAAGAGGGGAAATTATTAAATCCTTAACTTTCCAGTTGTTTGATTCAACGATTTCAATTAAACTTGTGTGTTTGAGAAGGCTAATAACTATTGATTCCAAAGGAAATCGAGCAATCTTAATTAGGTGGAAGGTAATTGTTACCTGGATCATTGTAACTAGGGGTGAGCATAACATGGTACCTGTAAAAATTCCTAGAACCGGAATCAGTTGCTCTTGCAACAGGTATCTTTAATTGGCCATCTACATCTTCTAGGAGAGCTTCCTCACATAACCTTGGGAAAACTAGCAGATAAATATGGTCAAATCTTTATGATTAAGCTCGGTATCCACCGAGCTTTGGTTGTAAGCACAGCAGAGATGGCGAAAGAGTGCTTAGGCGGCACCAATGACAAAGTATTCTTAAACCGTCCTCAAAAAATCTTTGTTAAACATATGGTTTACAACGGCATGATGTTGGGCTTCAGCAAATACGGCCAATACTGGCGTGAGATGCGCAAGATTACCATTGTCGAGCTACTGTCCGCCCATCGGGTAGAGATGTTAAAAAATGTCAGGATATCTGAGGTAAGATCAGCAATGAAGAGTATATCAATTTCCAGGTCTGAATTAACAGACATGAAACAATGGTTTACTAATATAAGCATGAACACTATTGTAAGATTAGTTTCAGGTAAGTCATTGAAGGAATTTTACCAAGGGGAGGAATATCATAGGTGTGCAAAGGCATTCAGGGATTTCTTCGAATTGGCAGGTGTATTCGTTCCTGCTGATGCACTGCCCTTACTGAGGTGGTTTGATATCGGAGGGTACGAGAGAAAAATGAAGAAAGCAGGAAAAGAGATTGATCAGATAGCTCAAAGATGGTTGGATGAACATAAAAACAGAAATTCTAAAGAGGCACAAGGAAAGCTGGACTTCATGGATGTGATGCTTGGTATTTTTGAGTCTGGACAGGAAAAGCCTTCCAAATATGAAACAGATACAATCATCAAAGCTACTTGCATGGTAAGAAATTTTATATACGCATTAAACTTGGTTTCTATATTATGAAATGTCAGTATTTGATAAATGCTTGAACATTTTAATTTTATGACAACAAACAAACTAACAAATATGATACAGAAAACATGTTTTCATGATAGCCGATTTGTCTTAATCTGTGCTCATACTAGTCATAAACTGTTTGGGCCAAGTCCATTGTCCTAAGCCCATTGACCCAGAATTACAAAAATACCCCTCCATGATCCAGCCCATCATTATTCAGAGCAAAGTACAGATTTACCCCTAATCTGTCCAATTAAGTACAACTTCTGCCACTATCTATAAATAGCTCTTCAATCATTAATGATGGTAACTTTTTCCTAATTCTATAACCTTCTCTCTCTACTTTCTCTCTCTAAAGTATTCTTTCTCTCTCTAGAATGTACATTCGCTGAATTAAGCATCGGAGGGGCTCTCCCGGGTCACACCCCCGGGGCAGCTAACCTTCTCTGTTTTGCAGGCCGAGCTCTCAGACATCTTAATCAAGGCGGAGCCTTCAGACATACCTTTAATAGGCAGAGCCGAAAGACATTTGGACAATCGGACACAAGCTATAGGACATCTTGATACCTTACTACCCTAAGACTCCCAGGAGCATTCTGTTTGAAACAAGTGGCGCCGTCTGTGGGGATAACTAACAAGAATTTATGGTGAACACTAGGCGTCCCCGCAGCACATATCAAGATGCTACTAGAGAAGCTTCGAATCTCTTGGCTCGGCATAAGCATGAAGTCGAGGAAAATATTAGAGGCAAACTCTTATACAAGCTGAGCTCTCATCATTTTACAACTCACTCAAATGAAATGAACAATTCACGAATCATGGGCAAGCCGAGCCCCCAGCTAGTCTACATTAGGCTCTCGGCATGCCCCACCGAACATCAAGACCCTTGGCATCTAGGCCTGCCAGCATACCCCCTCAGCCTGCCTCGCTACCCCCTCGGCCTGCCTCTGGCATACCCCCTCGGCCTGCCTGGCTACCCCCTCGGCCTGCCAGCATACCCCTTCGACCTGCCTGTCTACCCCGTAGGCCTGCTTGGCTATCTCCTCGGCTTGCCAGCATACCCCCTTGGCCTGGCTGGCTACCCCCTCGGTCTGCCAACATACCCCCCGGCCTGCCAGCATATCCCCTCGACTTGCCTGGCTACCCAGTCAGCCATACCTAGCCGAAGGCCATGATTCTATCAACTGCCTCGGCATGCCTAGCCGAGGGCTATGACTTTATCATCTCCTCAATATTCCTAGCCGGGGGACATGCTTCTATTAACCATCTCGGCATGCCTAGTTGAGGGCTATGCTTGGGGCTCGTTTAGCCCTCGGCCTATCTTAAAAGTTGGGATAGCCTAACTCTCATACATATATAACAAGGGGCTCGTTTAGCCCTCAACCTATCTCAAGATTTGGAATAACGTACTTCTCCTCAGCCTATCCCAAAAATTATGATGAACTACCTCTCATACATCTATAACAAGGGTCTCTTTTTGCCCCTAGCCTATCTCAAGGTTCGGGAGAGCGTACCTCACTTATAACAATAACATAGGGCTCGTTTAGCCCCCAGCCTATCCCTATGATTGGAATAGCATACCTCTCATCTATTTTTATTAGGAGGCTTACTTCGGCCGGAAGATCTCTTCAATGCAAGTCAAGCGCACCCCGGGGACTAGCTTCTACAACATTAACAAAATTCAAAAGTTTGAAATAATCATCAAGTCAAGCCGGCAAAACATTCAGCATATTTCAATTAGGAGAAAAAGAATTTTCTCTTGGGTTTGTGACAAACTCAAAAGCAAGGCATACCCTAGGCTCTCAGCGTTGCTATATAAGGCTCAGCTCCCAGCTTATCTATATCACCCCTTCAACCTTGGGTAATTTTTAGCAAAGATAATGCATGCCTAGCTCTTGGCTAATAGACCCAGCTCGAGCACGCTCTTGGTACTTGAAGCCAAGCCCTCGGCCTAGAGGAGGCTTGACCCTCAACATAACAAGTCAAGCCCATCGGCATCTCTCAGCCTAGAGTTGGCTCTTTACTCCTTCCGCTCGGCCTATTGAGTCACCCTCTCAGCATGGCCTCCCTCCGCTCGGCCCAGAGCGGGCTTGATCCTCAGCATGAAAAGCTAAGTCATCGACATCTCTCAGCCTAGAGTTGGATCTTTACTCTTTCCGCTCTGCCTATTGAGTGACCCTCTCAGCATGGCCTCCCTCCGCTCGGCCTAGAGCGGGCTTGACCCTCAGCATGACAAGATAAGCCATCGGCATCTCTCAGCCTAGAGTTGGATCTTTACTCTTTCCGCTCGGCCTATTGAGTCACCCTCTCAACTTGGCCTCCCTCCGCTCGGCCTAGAGAGGGCTTAGCATGACAAGCTAGGCCCTCGCATCTCTCAACCTAGAGTTGGCTCTTTACTCCTTCCACTTGGCCTATTGAGTCACCCTCTCAGCTCGACCTCCCTCCACTTGGCCTATTTAATCATTCTCTCAACTCAGCCTCCCTCCGCCCGGGGTATTAAGCTTCTTGGTTTATTTCTCAAGATACCTCGGCTGGGGGTATAAAGCACTTGGTTTATTTCTCAAGATACCTCCTCCTAGGGGTATACAATACTTGGTTTATTTCTCAAGATACCACTAGGGGTGTAAAGCACTTGGTTTATTTCTCAAAGTACCTCCGCCTAGGAGTATGAAGCACTTGGTTTTCTTGTCAAAGCACCTCCGCCCGGGGTACAAATTTTCTTGGGTTTTTATTCTCAAAGTTCCTCCGGCCAGGGTATAAAAGTTCTTGGCTCTCTCCCCATCCAACACCCAAGCTCTCAGTCTATCCACATAGAAGAAAGAAAACTTCCTCCGCTTGGAAATTCTCTCAGCTCTCACATCACTCCCTTGGCATATTTGGTCTTGCACAAGCATAGCCTAGGCCCAAGTCATGCTACCTCACAATACATAACTTTTACCCTAGGATGCACGGACTCGGGTACGGGTGTCGGACTCGGGTATGGGTCAAAGTGTCGGATTCGGAAAATTCTAAAATTAAGGATCCGGGGACACGTTTTTAAAGAGTCCAAATTTTGGATTTGGACTCGGGGACACGGAAATGCAAAAAAAAAATATACTATAATAATAAAAAATAAAAAGTTAATTATTCAATGATTTTTTTATTTATTTTAAATTTTTTGTTTAGTACTGTACCTGACAGGAAAAAAAAACACAGTAAGAAAGAAAAGTCAAAGTACATTTATTGTTCACATTAAAATAAAGATAAACGAAAAGGGAAAAAAGAAAAGATAAACCTAGTAAAGAGGAGTTAGAGGACACGTGATTATATCCCCACCTACCCCCACCTCCACAATTATATTAAAAAAAAAAGATAGAGAAAGAAAACAGAAATTGCAACTTGAAAATGTCGAAGAACTAGTACAACCCAACCTCCCGTCGCCGGCTAAGAAAACCGGCAACTTCTTGGTGCTGGCCTGCTCGTCTTTCCCTTCCAATCAAAAGCCCTAAGATTTCGACTCTTGTTTTGGTGAATCCGACCTTCTATTTTAGATCTAGGGTTTATGACTGACGAGTCCACTTTTTCTCCCAAGCGTCCGACCCGGATTCCGTGTCCGCACCCGGGTCGCGTCGTGTCGACACCGGTACGGTGGGGTGGTTGGCCGAGTCCGAGCTTCGCATCTTTTACCCTGGGGTAAAAATGTTTTTTAAGGTTTTCTAAAGGTATCTTCGCCCGGGGTAATAAAGTCTCCCTCCGCTAGGCCTTGCTACATAGTTCACACCCCAGGCTCTCGTCTCTCCGCTCAGCTAGTCAGACCCTCCTCTCCGCGTCACATTTCTCTCTCTTAAGTCCCCCAGATTACCTCAACCAAAAAGTCGTCACTCACCCCCGCTTAGCTCGCAGAAATCTCATCAAGTCACTCGATGGCTATGTCGAGCGCCCAGCCTTGCGCACCATTCACCCCCTCGGTTTTTCTCGCATCCCTCGGCATGGCCACATATTAAGCTCTCGGTCTGGCAGCCAAACCCCTCGGCTTGTAAGCCCTCTCGGCTTGCCCCACCTCACCAACTCCAAACTTAAAATAATAAAACCAAGTTATAACACTCAAAGCTTCTCCCTTAACTAGACATACAACTCCCTCGGCCTACCATAGGGTATGCTAAGCCTTCGGCCTACCCATCTTTTGCATCTCCACCCCCTCGGCTTGCTAAGACAAGCCCTCAGCTGCATCAGCACCCCCCTCGGCATAGCAGCACCCCAGGCCCTCGGCCTACTGCTATGTCGGCAATTATTCACTCCCAAAAAAAAATAAAAAAATAATAAAAAAATAAAAAATCAACAGTTGGGCGGAGGTAAAGAAGCTCACTTATCTCTCTCGGCTAAGCCTAAACACAAGAAATTCGGCCTAGCTTTACTCACAAAAAATTCCAAAGTACAAAATTCGAGTACCCCTACCCGAAAATCAGCACCAAGTCGAGCTTGCACCCCCTCGGGCTACAAGACAGGCCCTCGGCATGGGGCTTCCAGGCGCTCGATCTCTCACTCCTCTCTCTGCTCGAATAAGGATCTGAGCGATCAACCCCTCAATTGGGCTAATAACACCTTCGGCCTAGTTGTCCTCTCCCTCCTCCCTCGGTCAAGCATTCAGCCAAACCCCACAAAGCAAACTCATAATCTAATCACCATCACTTAACTCTCAAATTAGCCAAAAAATAAGACAAGTCATGCTCTCGGCTAAGTGTAAGACTTATCGCTTAGAATATTATCAAGACAAATCAGGCTCTCGGCTAGGCGTAAAGCATAGCTCTCAACTACTGACAAGCCGTCATCTATTAATATACTTACTCTTCAGACTATTTCACAATAACTTAGCTTTAGTAGCTAAAATATTTTCTAATGCATTGCTTGGGGCTGGTCTTCACCCTTGCAAGTCGCTTTGGGGCTCTTTTTAGCCCCCAAGTACACTTGGGGCTCGTTTTAGCCCTCAGGTACGCCTAAAAGCCATTCGGACTCATGACAGCTTTAATTATGTTCATTCCGCCTGACATCCGAACTTCATGCGATCTCGTTCCCACATCACGCATGGGGCTAAATGTTTGGGCCAAGTCCATTGTCCTAAGCCCATTGATCCAGAATTACGAAAATACCCCTCCATGATCCAACCCATCATTAGTTAGAGCAAAGTATAGATTTACCCCTAATCTGTCCAATTAAGTACAACTTCTGCGACTATCTATAAATTACTCTCCAATCATTAATGATGGTAACTTTTTCCTAATTCTCTAACCTTCTCTCTCTACTTTCTCTCTCTAGAAAGTACATTCGCTGAATTAAGCATCGGAGGGGCTCT